TTTTCCTGCATTTCCTGCTGTTTAATTGCCTTCAGCTCAAACAAATGTTTATGTCAAAGAGACATATTTTGGGATGACAGATTCTGGTTTCCTTCAGGATGGTCTCTTATTTCATTTCACAGATAAGGAAACTGGTGCACAAAGTGAACTTGGAATAAGCATGTAGCCTGAAAGCCCTAAAATTACTTTTTCTAAATTCTGCTATTCTTCAACTTGGTTTTCCTTTTACTGAGGATATTTCCAAGCAGGGGGAAAAAAAAAATTTTCTAGGTCCTTTACACCTCCTTTACCTAAATTCTATTTTCTAGAAGCTCTTAAGGATATTTCACTCATCCAAACTGCCACAGTACTCTAAATCAAACCTACTATTTTTTAATGCGTAATATACATTGTGTTCAAAATCATCAATCTCCTCTTTTAAAATACAAAGATTAAACAAACATGCAAACATTAAAAGAAGGTACCTGGAAAAGAATCTAAACAAGAGTGGATACATGCCAATGTATAGCTGATTCACTTTGTTGTACAGCATAAACACAACCTTGAAAATCAACTATACTCCAATAAAAATTAATTTTAAAAAAGAAAGTACCTGCCCTGAGGGGAACATACAGTAAGTCCCCTATATATGAATGAGTTCCATTCTGAGAGCATATTCATAAGCCCAGTTTGTTTATAAGTCCAACAAAGTTAGCCTAGGTACCCAACTAACACAATCAGCTACATAGTATGTAGCTGATTAGTACATAGCTCTATATAGGTTTATAATACTTATCACACAAATAATACATAAAGTACAAACACAAAAAATAGTGCTGTATGCAAAGTACACAAAAGCACAACCACCTGTAGAGGATGCACACACGTGACAATGTACACCAGACATGTGAACTAACTTACGAAAATGGACAGGCAAACACATAGTCTTATCTTTGAAAGTTCACAACTTGAAGGTTTGTATGTAGGGTACTTACGGTACAAGTAAACAGTTGAAAATGATGTGTTGACAGGCAGGAACATCTCACTCCTCCAAGTATAAGAAGAAAGGTAGCTGGGAAGCATCCTTGAGGGGTGATCCTTACTGAATCTTGAAGGGAAATTTGTACTTCATCAAGCAGACAAGCAAAAGAATTTCCAGGACCAGTATATATTGAACCAGCATAGGTATTGAACAACTCTTCTCAGGAATTAATGAAGCTCAGGTTCTTTTTGTCTCAGCACAGAAGTAATTAACTGAGGGACAAAGTGGTAAGTAAAAAGTGGGTTTATTAGTATAGGATGCTTGTGAAGGATATAAGAGGGCAGGCAAGGTAGCTCTTCCCTGAGAACTAAGAGGGCTTCATTTTTGTAGTCAATGAAAAAGTGGGGGAGAGAAGAACACCTTCCTCCTCATTTTTTGAGTAGAGAGTAGGCTTATATCATTAGCTCCTCCTTCATGGCAGGTTATTGACCCCATATGGTTAAACCAGGAATGTCATAGTGCTATTCAAATCAGCAGAGAAGTGGTAACATACACTATGTTAAATCATCTCAGATTTCAGTTTGAGGATCTTCTACTCTGAAATGTCATCTTTGCCCTATATCCTGTCCTTGGCGTGCAGAGATCCTTGTCCTAAGGACCATTATCTTGCTGACCTCAACCAGCATGAGGCATGCAGGTCTCATTTTTTCACCTAATGACCTGGAGCATATCTTGTGCTTTTATTGCATGGGTACCTTGTTAAGCAGGCCTGTTTTGTTTCATGATGTTCTGATTCCTTTCCTGAGCAATCATTAATGTACAATGGTCTCCCAAAGTTAATTCTCTATACATAATCCCCTAGTGGGATTTCTAAAATCATCTGTGTAACTGCCCTACTCTATTTCTATCAGCATTCTGGATCATATGGAATCTAGGAAACTTCAGTAGTAGTCCGACGTGAGGTAAATGCAGGCAAGGGTGTGTGTGGTGTTAACAAACAGCCACCCTCCACCACACAAAAAAGATAAAATTCTTACCCAACTGAACTTGAGTCCTTTTGCCTGCAGCACAAGAAAGCCAATTTACTATCATGAGTTGTGAAGGAAGGTACAGTAATTCTCTGCAGGGCACCAAGCAAGGAGTATCGGCAGTTCATGCTCAAAAGACCCAAACTCTCTGAGTCCTGCTCAGTTTCAAAATTATGACTGTCATATAGATATAAAAATGAACATGTTAAAGATTTTGTTTCTCATATCAGGCAGATTTTATAACCATCTGCTCAAAGGACAAGACCAAAGAATAGACACATTTATAGACCAGAAATATTGAAATAAATGGAGTCAGAACCATCTTCTTTCACAGGGAGTGCAAATGTTTCACAGGGAGTGCAAATCTTCACAGGGAGTGCAAATGATTGAACTTCAGTAGGAGAGAATTTGCATTTCCATAGACCATCATTTTGCACTGCTACCACTCATTTACAACTTACACAATTGTAAAAGAGCTTCCATAGAATTAGAATCAGGTAATGCAGAAAGGTCAGTTTTCATCTCAATTCCAAAGAAAGGCAATCCTAAAGAATGCTCAGTTCAGTTCAGTTCAGTCGCTCAGTCATGTCCGACTCTTTGCGACCCCATGAATTGCAGCACGCCAGGCCTCCCTGTCCATCACCAACTCCCGGAGTTTACTCAAACCCATGTCCATCGAGTCGGTGATGCCATCCAACCATCTCATCCTCTGTCGTCCCCTTCTCCTCCTGCCCCCAATCCCTCCCAGCATCAGGGTTTTCTCCAATGAGTCAAAGAATGCTCAAACTACTGTACAATTGCACTCATCTCACACGCTCGTAAAGTAATGCTCAAAATTCTCCAAGCCAGGCTTCAGCAATACGTGAACTGTGAACCACCAGATGTTCAAGCTGGTTTTAGAAAAGGCAGAGGAACCAGAGATCAAATTGCCAACACCCACTGGATCATCAAAAAAGCAAGAGAGTTCCAGAAAAACATCTATTTCTGCTTTATTGACTATGCCAAAGCCTTTGACTGTGTGGATCACAATAAACTGTGAAGAGATGGGAATACCAGACCACCTGACCTGCCTCTTGAGAAATCTGTATGCAGGTCAGGAAGCAACAGTTAGAACTGGACATGGAACAACAGACTGGTTCCAAATAGGAAAAGGAGTACATCAAGCCTGTATACTGTCACCTTGCTTATTTAACTTATAGGCAGAGTACATCATGAGAAATGCTGGGCTGGAAGAAGCACAAGCTGGAAACACAATTGCTGGGAGAAATATCAATAACCTCAGATATGCAGATGACACCACCCTTATGGCAGAAAGTGAAGAGGAACTAAAAAGCCTCTTGATGAAAGTGAAAGAGGAGAGTGAACAAGTTGGCTTAAAGCTCAACATTCAGAAAACTAAGATCATGGCATCTGGTCCCATCACTTCATGGGAAATAAATGGGAAACAGTGGAAACAGTGGCTGACCTTATTTTTGGGGGCTCCAATATCACTGCAGATGGTGACTGCAGCTATGAAATTAAAAGACGCTTACTCCTTGGAAGGAAAGTTATGACCAACCTAGACAGCATATTAAAAAGCAGAGACATTACTTTGCCAACAAAGGTCCGTCTAGTCAAGGCTATGGTTTTTCTAGTGGTCATGTATGGATGTGAGAGTTGGACTGTGAAGAAAGCTGAGCGCCGAAGAATTGATGCTTTTGAACTGTGGTGTTGGAGAAGACTCTTGAGAGTCCCTTGGATTGCAAAGAGACCCAACCAGTCCATCCTAAAGGAGATAACTCCTGGGTGTTCATTGAAAGGACTGATGTTGAAGCTGAAACTCCAGTACTTTGGCCACCTCATGCGAGGAGCTGACACATTGGAAAAGACCCTGACGCTGGGAGGGACTGGGGGCAGGAGGAGAAGGGGACAACAGAGGATGAGATGGCTGGATGGCATCACCGACTCGATGGACATGAGTTTGAGTAAACTCCAGGAGTTGGTGATGGACAGGGAGGCCTGGGTGCTGCGATTCATGGGGTCACAAAGAGTCGGACACGACTGAGCGACTGAACTGAACTGAATGCAGAAAGGTAACTCCTGTGCATAGATTTCCAATGAAGCACACCTTCTCCCCCACAGTGGCAGTTAGAGATAAAAATAAAATATTCAGGGGCCATACCTGAAACAGCAAATAACACACTTTCTGTTAGTTTCAGTCTCTGAGCAAAGGAGGTTCAAGAAAGGCCAAGGTGGGAAATGCCAAGATACCCTTTCACTGGAAGGGCATGGCCTGGTGGCAGGTGGAAGCCAACTGAAAAAGCACAAGGATGGAAGCACGAGTAACATCCAGTAGGCTGATGCAGTAGGTCAGTCAGAGTCTGCAAGCTGGAGCCAAGGTGAGTGGCTGACAAACACAGAAAGTCGAATCCAGCAGATGTCCTGAATGCGGATGTGAGGGATCAAGTCGAAAGGATATATCTGACAGCTTCCAGATACCTTACTCAGACAGCTGGGTAGACAGTGGCGCATCCACCAGTACAAAAGGAGCAACTCTGTGAGGAAAAATAAGTTCAGTTTTGCATAACCGGAGGCTGAGGTGCCTACACAACGTCGGGAAGGCAGATGGAACGGGACCCCAAGAGGCCAGGGGTAGAGTTAGAAGCCACTCGGTCTTTCAAAGCAACCAGGCATGAGAGGAGGCAGGTTTGAGAGGGGCCCCGAATGGTCCCAGGAGAGTCCAGCCTAGTGGAAGGTTCGACCCGGCAGACGTGGAGGCTTCCCGGTCGCGCAGCGAACTCCAGAGGCGAGAGCCACAGAGCCTCGCGATCCTTCCGCCCGTTGAGCCTCGTCGCATTTTCCACAGCTAGGCCGCACGGGCCCCACTTCCGCTTCCGGTCCGGGGTCTTGGCGGCGAGCGGCGTGGGGCGGGGCCTCGGGTACTTGGCGGAAGGAGCAACCTTCCCTCGGCTGGTGGGCTCCTGCGAGCCGGCGCGGCCTGCCTCGGCGGAGAGAGTGGCAGCCCCGGGCGGATGCGGCGGCTTCCACCCTCGGGCCCCACTACGGCCCCAGGGCGTGAAGGCGACGCTCGAGGCCTGAGGAAGAGAAGCCGGCGGCCAGGGCCAGGCGAGGCAGGAGGCTGCGGCGCTGAGGCGGCGGGGCGCGAGGAGAGCAGACAAAAGAGGAGGATGGTGGCCCGGGTGTCTGGGAGAGAAGAGGTGGAAAGTGACAAGTCAGGTGAGACGTCCGGGACTGGGAAGGCCTTAGCGAGGCGGCGAGTGGAGGGGCTGGGGGCGGGGGGTGGGGGGGACGACATGGGGGCTTTTCAGACCCATCTGACAGGGCCAGCTTAGAAGCAGCGAAGGAGGCGGAGCTCCCACTGCAAGTGGGAGGACGCCTTAAGATAGCACTTAGGGGTCACTCCCTTTCTAGCGTTTGCATCCATTCGCCTTAACCCGTGTTTTATCAGTAGCTTTTCACTTGAATCTGCATGGGCTTTACTGATGCGCTCAGTTGACCAGGAAGGGGGAAAACACAGGAATTCACTTAAAAGATATTTGTCCCGTTAGGGTGCCTTGGTCAGAAGTACTATAAGAGGAGGACTTCCCTGGTAGCTCCCCTGGTAAAGAATGCTCCTGCAATACACGAGACCCGGGTTCCATTCCTGGGTGGGGAAGATCCCCTGGAGAAGGGATAGGCTACCCACTCCAGTGTTGTTGGGTTTCCCAGGTGCCTCAGACAGTAAAGAATCCGCCTGCAATACAGGAGACCTGGGTTTGGTCCCTGGATTGGGAGGATCCCCTGGAGAAGGGCATGGCAACCCACTCCAATATTCTTGCCTGGAGAATCCCCATGGACAGAGGAGCCTGGCGGGCTACAGTCCATAGGGTCACAAAGAGTCGGATACAGCTGAGCAACTAAACACAGCACAGCACTATAAAAGGGACTCCTACTAGTGAGCCACTTTGGCTAGTGCAGAATAATGACACTAGAGGTTATTCAGCTGCCTTAGAATTCATACAGGTTTGTATGTAGTTCCTTAATAGAAATTAGGTCTTTGATTTTAAAAACAAACCTATGTTTTCCTACAGCTATTCAGGGAAATGAAAATGGATGACTTCACTTTTTTTTTAATTTGTATTGCTTTTCCTCCCTCAATATAAAATCTTCTCTGATATGTTTTGTTGTTTTCATCAGCCAAGGAAAAAAGAAAAGTTACTGAAGCCTCAAGTGATGATCCACAGCCAGGGATTGACCTGGTAAGAAAGGAATCATTAACCAGTTCGGAATCTTTCCCAACAGTGGAATGCAGTGAATTTCAAAGTATGGCTTTCTTGCAGTCTTTGGGTAAGGAAAGGTTGATAGAAGGTATTAAAAGAAGAATTCGAATTAAAAAATTTAAAAGCTTAGAAAGCCCACCTCTCAAAATGACTGAAAATAAGGCTACACAGAATAGTAAGGTTGAATTCCAAGATGAACTGTACAAGAATACTCAGAAATATTCTTGTAACAGCTTGTCACCTGGAGTAGAAAATAATTCCATTTTAAAATTACATGATTGCAGTTGTCTCTCCCATTCCAAGGATTGTAATGATGAAAATAATCTTGCATATAAACCTGATGGAGGATGTTTGCATGTACGAGAAAATTCCTCAAAGAAAGAAAACCCTAGGAGTCTTAATAAGACTAATCCAAGCAATATTCCTCAGCTTTTACAAACTGAAGAAAACTTAATGCAAGTAAGTCAGTTATTGCTTGAAGAAGATGATTCAAACCTAAGTAAAAATAATGGCATGTTTTCCTGCCTTCAAAGTGAAAACAATAAACATTCAGTAGAGGAGAGCAGTATTGGGAGAAAATCCAGAAAAAAGATGAAGGTGTCTGAAAAAGGAAATGGAATGGTTACTGAGATGACGTTTTCTAATATGTGTAACAAATCTGAGCTGATGTTACAAGGAAACCAAACAGGTGCTGAAGGTAAAGAAACAGAGACTTTAGAAGCTAAAAAAAGTTCTTTGAAAGTTTTGAGAAAAGTAAATAATAATACGCTGTCACCGATGGATCCCTTATTAAGTCTTCCAGAAACAGGGAAAAAAACAAGTCCTGAACATTATGTAAATGCTGTGTTTCAGAAAGCCCTTGAGCAACTTTCAGAAGAAGAAACAAAGAATGTTTCACAGCCTTTAGGATGTACCAGCATGGATCCACCAGGAGATTATTTTAAGTCAATGAAAAGCTCATTAGTGAAGTCACTTAGTGATTGCTTTCCTGTTGAAAAGAGGTCTTCTAGGGAAGGCTTGAAGAATGAAGCTGAAGAATCTAAATATAGCTGTCACAGAACAATACCAATGACTGGCAAGAGAACTTGGCCTTGTTATTCATGTGCTAGAATATCTGCCCAGTGTTGGAAAAAAGCTTCCTTGCCACAAAGTTCTAGGCAAGATGATTTTCTTAAACATCAAACGAATCAAACTTACTTAACGGACTCCAAATTAATGCTACAAAGTTCTGTAACAGAAACAAACAGTGCATCTTCAAGTATAGAAAAATTGGATTCTAATTTAAATTGTTTACCTTCAGTCTCTACAGTGGAACCTACTTCAGTAGTTATAAAGGAACCTATAGTCAATGATGACGAAAAAATGAAGTCAGAGAAACTAAGTAGAAGTGCATCAGAGGTAGTTTCTAATACTACTGAAGATACTCCATTGACTAATGTGACTCACAACTTAACAGGAAGTAAAAAAAAACGTAGAGGGAATTTAACAAAACTGAATTTGATGGTGGCTTCCCAGGATGGCCAGGAAGCAAGTAACTCTACAGGCAAAACTATTCATCAAAAAGCATGCATTACTAAGCAAGCACTGGTTGTTCCAGACCTAGTTAAGATACTGAACACAGGACGGCTGACTAATTTTAAAATTCCTTTACTTAAGAACAAAACAGAAAAAAGAAAAGAAATTAATGCCAAGTCATCAGAGAGAGAAGTATGTAGTCCCCTAGAACTTCTTGACAATTTATCTGGAGCAGAGGTAAGGCAGAGTAGGACTAAAGAAAATGCTGTCACAGTAACTTCAGGACCTCAATCTCTGAGTATACAACATAGTGTAATTCCACTACAAGCTAGTTCTGACTCATTCTGCAGTAAGAATTCCTGTATTATTGCTCCGAGCTTTTTAAAGCAAGGTAATAATAATAAACCATCTAACCACATCTCTGCATCAGGCCATATCATTTCTAATAAGGCAGCTGGTTCTCTCACAGTTGAAAATAATACATTTTCTTGTGATCCTGGATGTATAGAGAAAAATCCCACCTTCTATTCCAATGAGCAAGAACCATTCAAAGCAGGTTCCTCTGAAGTTAGTGGTAGAAAAATGACTAAGAACTTTTCAGAAGTCAAAGTGGGGTTTCCAGATATTCTGAAAGCATATGAAGATGATGTCCTCTTAATTGATGTAATTCAAGATGACCCAGACCTGTTTGGAGTCTCCAATGAAGGGGAACTCTCATTTCCTTCAGAGGTTACCATGATAAGCCAGGAGCCCAATGTTGCTGAAGAGCATCAATCGACAGACTCCAAGCACATGGAACTTCCAGAAAAAAAAGAACCAAGCGATGACTTGAGGTATGCATGTTCAAGTATGCCTTTTGGTGCAGATCATTGTTGCAGGTTTCAAAAGCACTTTCTGGTCTTAGGTGTCACTATTCAGTGATCATATTGATGCTCCATTATTTTTTCAACCCAGTTATTTATTAAATGTAATATAGTGTATTATTGCCGAGACCTGGAAGTGTCATTATCCTGAAACTTAGAATTGAAATAAAATTATTATATTTGAAATTATAATGGAGCAGATCAGCTGTTTGGAATTTTAAATGGTGGTTTATAAAGTGGCTTTTTAAATTACTGAGATTGCTTCTTTCAGAAGTCACTTAAATTGATCTCCATGTTTTTTAATCATTGTAAATATACAGATATACTTTCATTTCAATCAAGTTACTTATTAAGAAAAGTGCTGTATATGTATTTTAACCCATTTTCTGTGGCTTCCTTGTTAGATAAAAAATTTATTTTTCAGTTGTCACAGAAGCCTTGGAAAAGTTTATTTGAATTAAAACTTAAAAGTAAATCAAAAGTTAAACTAAATTTCAGAGGGAAAAAGCTTACAATTTTTTTTCATGGTTTTATTTTTAGGGAGATGGTTTTAAATGATAGCTTAGTCCCCAAAGAGGGTGAGTTTGCCTGAACCAATTTTAAACAGAGCCAAGTAATAACCTTCATGTTCAGGAACTTGCTATATCTGATGGGCCCAAATTTTATTTAATATTATGTTATATTTTACTAAGTTTCATAATTTTGAAACTCTAATTTGTTTTTGTATGTTACAATACTTGAATATTGGAATGTTTTGTGAACAGAGTCAAAATAAGAAAACACATTCCACTAAGATTCAATGGTACATGACTTAAATTTATCTGGTATTTATAAATTTAGTGATACTACATTCTTCTTGATGTTCTTAGTGTTATAAGAACTTGTAACCTATCACCCAACAGAGTACTTTCTATATCCCAAAGGAAGAACCAAGAGTTCTCTTATCTATAGATAATAATAATTATCTATTATTTTTAAAGCCATGTAATGAAGATGGTAATCTGCCCATTTTGAAGTGGAAAAAATGAGGGTGACAAGTTGTCACTTGTCCAGGTTGATACTACTAGTAACAGAATCTGAACTTGAACTATCTTACTTTAAAATTAATGGTCAAGGACTTAACCTTTGTAGCCTAACCTAGGTTTCTGAGTCTTCTTGCCCTAATAGCTCCGTGACCTTTTAGGCAAATTATTTTACTTTATCTGTTAGAAGGGGAGGTACTTGCCTCAGGGTTGTAAGAATTAAATCAGTGAATGGATGGAACAGGTTTTGGTTTGACACTGTGTGAATAGTGAGAGCTCAATAAAGGGTAATTGTTAAAGGTGTTTTTAACTCTTCCTCTACCACGCTTCCTTTGAGGAATGCCAAGAGAAATCAGTGCAAATCTGGCATTCAAAAACAAACATCTGTTAGTTAACAGGATGCTGACAATGAACTGCAATTGAAGGGAGAAAGAAAGAAGTGTTATGAAGTGGGCATAAAGTTTGTTTTTTATACTTTTTTTTTTCCTTTCTTAGAATAATGGCTGATTGCATTAAAATGGCACATGTTCATTACAATAGAAGTGTAAAAGGGAGGGAATCCCACCACCCAAAATAACAAATTAATTACTCAAAATTTGTGTGCATCATTCCAGACTTCTGTCTAGGCATGTATGTGGATATAATTTCAGAAAAATTGGTTCATGCCACTTTTTAGTAAAAACATTTAATTTTACTTACACTTAACTTGGGGAAGGAGAGACTGAAGTGAAACTAAAGGAATTGCTGAATCAAAAACCTCTTTACCACAAGAAATTAGTTCCTAAAAGTCTCTGCCAAGCTAATAAAGATTATTTTAAAGCTTGAGTTTTGTTATCATGCCTTTTAAAAATTGTGTTCTAACTTCAGACAGTACCATTGCTTTCCTGATAAAAGACAGACATATCAGTACATATTCGCTTTTTCTCCCAATCTTGCCTCTTACATTTTTCTTAAAATTTTTTGTTTTTTCTTGTTAAGGCTTGTGCCGTTTACATTCTCATCAATAATCTGAATTTCCAAAGACTCTTCATTCTTTATTTAAGTTGATTCAGTCTTTACCATCAATTCTTTTTACTCTCCTTTAATCTTGACTATTTTGATTCATTTCTTAGTTGACTAGATTGCAGAGCAATTTTTTTCAATGGTTCTTGATTGCTGTGTTTCCTGAGACCTTGGGCACATAAGAATGCCTATTGTCTGCAAACAAATTGGGTATAAAATTCTTAGTTTATATTTTTTCTTCTCACAACTATATAGTTATTTGTCCCAGCTTTCTGGCTTTGAGTGTTATAGTGGAAAAGTCTGAGGCCAAACTAATTCACCATTGCCGGTCTCTAAGCTGCCTCCTTTTTTTTTTTTTTTCACTTCTTGCTTTCTGTTTTAGGATTATGTACTGTATCAAATTATGTATCAGATTTTCCTGGCCAAGCTGAACCATTTTGGTTTGCAGTATCAAATTTACTTCAGATAGTTATGCTATTATTTTAACTTCATTTTCCTTCATGGCAGAAGCACCAATGATACTTGTATTAGCTCTTCTTTTTCTTCCATTTCTGCTTCTGAAGTTTGGGTTTTTAAATAAGCTTGAAAATTTCCTTAGTAGTTATTTTAGTATTTTCCTTTTCCTACATTGGAAATACCAGTTTTAGTTATCCACAGTGCTAGAATAAACCTTAACAGGAAAAAACGGAGGCCTGATCACCAGAGGGTCTGCTAATAGCTGTACAGAAAATTGTTAATGAATGGTTCTAGAACTAGATGAAGCTTAAAATGTAATTTCTAATGTCAGCTCTCTCCCTTTTACCAACTAGTTGCTAACTAATACATTCTTTTTTCATCACTCTGTGACACTAAGAGTTTGAAACCTGTTAGAATGAGTTTCTGTTTTGTCGTCGTTCAGTTTCCCAGTCCTGTCTGATTCTTTGTGACCCCATGTGCTAAAGCACGCCAGGCCTCATTGTCCCTCACCATCTCCTGAAGTTTGTCCAAGTTCATGTCCATTGCATCAGTGATGCCATCCAGCCATCTTATCCTCTGTCTCCCCCATCTCCTCCTGCCTTCAGTCTTTCCCAGCATCAGGGTCTTTTCTAATGAGTCAGCTCTTCGCATCAGGTGGCCAAAGCGTTGGAGCTTCAGCTTCAGCATCAGTCCTTCCAACAAGTATTCAGGGTTGATTTCCCTTAAGATTGACTGGTTGGATCTCCTTGCTGTCCACAGGACTCTCAGGAGTCTTCTCCAGCACCATAGTTTGAAGGCATCAATTCTTGCGCACTCTGTCTTTTTTACGGTCCAGATCTCACAGCCATATATGACCACTGGGAGGACCATAGCTTTGACTATACAAACGTTTGTCGGCAGAGTAATGTCTCTGCTTTTCAGCACACTGTCTAGGTTTGTCATAGCTTCCCTGCCAAGAAGCAAATGTCTTTGGATTTCATGGCTTCAGTCACCATCTGCAGTGATTTTAGAGCCCAAGAAGAGGAACTCTGTCACTACTTCCACCTTTTCCCCCTCTATTTGCCATGAAGTAATGAGGCACTGACTCAATGGACATGTGTTTGAGTAAACTCCGGGAGCTGGTGATGGACAGGGAGGCCTGGGGTGCTGCAGTCCACGGGGTCACAAGAAGTCGGACATGACTGAGCGACTGAACTGAATGGGGCCAGATGCCATGATCTTAGTCTTTTTAATATTTTAGTTTTAAACAGCTCTTTCACTCTTCCTCCTTCACCCTCATCAAAAGGCTGTTTTAATTCCTCTTCACTTTCTGCCATTAGAGTGGTGGGACAAACATCAACAACTTCAGATATGTGGATGATACCACTCTAATGGCAGAAAGTGAAGAGTTCCTGCTTTACAGAAATAGAAATTGAAAATGGCTAAGCCCGGAAATTTTCAGAAGTTCTACACTATCTCTTCTTGGTAAAATAGGTAGACAAACCTGAGTTAATTTAATGGTTGGGGGAAGTAGTCTGAGACCTTGTTAAGGAGAATTTGTAAGGTATTTCAGTTATGTTAGATGTATTCATTGTCGATCTCCACAGTGTTGGAAGTCCGTATTAAATTTTAAAGCATTAGCATGTTAGAACTAATTCCTGAAGACTTGAACTGATGAACTTAGAAATGGATAATGAGTAAAATTGGTAAAACTTTTGAGTTAGCCTGTGACTATAGTTAGAGATCTGAAAATGTCTGTAATAGTCAATGCTATTAATCTGTATTAGGACACAGCATTATCTTCAGTCACAATTTAATTATATACTAAAATTTCAGTTGAGTGATATTATACAGGGGATCATTGAGATTTAAAAAAACTGCCAAATATTCAAGGGAATTACTATTAATATATAGGTGGGGCTTCCCTGGTGGCTCAGTAATGAAGAATCCGCCTGCCAATGCAGGAGACACAAGTTCGATCCCAGGGTCAGGAAGATCCACTGGAGAAGGAAATGGCAAGTTACTCCAGTATTCTTACCTGGGCAATCCCATGAAGAGAGGATCCTGGCGGGCTGCAGTCCATCAGATCACAAAGGGTCAGATGTGAATTAGTGACTACACAACAACTATATAACTAGGGAATTGGGAACTAATGTGTTTGAAATGAAAATATGTAAACTGAGGTACAAGAACACTCAGTTCAGTTCAGTCGCTCAGTCGTGTCCGACTCTTTGTGACCCCATGAGCTGCAGCGCACCAGGCCTCCCTGTCCAACACCAGCTCCCGGAGCCTACCCAAACTCATGTCCATTGAGTCGGTGATGCCATCCAGCCATCTCATCCTCTGTCATCCCTTTCTCCTCCTGCCCTCAATCTTTCCCAGCATCAGGGTCTTTTCAAATGCGTCAGCTCTTCGCATCAGGTGGCCAAAGTATTGAAGTTTGAACTTCAACATCAGTCCTTCCAGTGAATATTCAGGACTTATTTCCTTCAGAACTGACTGGTTGGATCT